ATATAAATTAAAAAGCATTGGTCCACATCTAACAATCATGTTTTCGCTTAGTGTACTGTTAATGTTCACACATTGTTTTCTGTTTTCCAAATAATTTTTTGTGTTAATAGGTGGTTCCACGAGATCCTAAGTTTTCCAAGGTTCTTAATAATTTTTGATGTGTAATACTATCGAATGCTTTGGTTAAGTCTCCAAAAAGGCATGTTGTTGATTTATTATTATCATCGTACTTGTAAAGTTTGGTTGTTCAACTGAATAAGTGCATCTTGAGTTGATTTTGCTTCCTGGAATGAAGTTACATTTTGCAATAAATTCTGAAAAGCGTTTTTTAAGAATTTTTTCAAAAATCTTTGAAAAGTTTGTCAATAATGAAATTGGACAATAATAACAAGGTTTCTGTTTAGCTCCAGATTTAAATACAGGTTTTATTATTGCCTTTTTTAATTGGATCGGGAACATTCCTCTTTCCATGCAGGTGTTTATAAGATATGCTAATACTTTAGAAATTTTATAATTTATTTGTTTCAGAGTGTATGCGGTTATATTATCAAATCCCGGTGATTTCTTAACTTTCAGTCGCTTTATGATATGTTCAATTTCGTATTGATGGGTCTGTGTCATATACAGGGAATTTTGTAATATGGTTTTTCGTATATACAAGTTGTGTTTCATTTGAAATGTCTTTTGCCAGATTTTCACCAATTTCAGAAAAATATTTACAAAATTCATTGCCTGTTTCGATATCGCTTTTTTAAGTCCGTCAATTTCTTTTTGTACAGCAGGAATTTCTTGGCATTTTTGAGAATGTTGCATTTTTCTATGAAATGCCACATTTTGGCATAAGAATTTTGAAGTCTGTTGTTAGATACGTCTTGGTATATCATCACTGTCTGTCTGCGCGGTCCTTAAGACCTTTGCTTTTGATTAAGGTCTTGTCAGTCAGAGGGTCTGTTAGTTATAGTTAACCAGATATTTCGTTTCATATTAAAATGTATCTTAAAAAAGGAAAATAACCAAGCACTTGACATATTTCAGTAGGACAACTCCTTTAAATCCAGTGCAACAACTTTTTTGTGGTTTTGTCCGTCACAGCGGCGGACTTAAGTAATGGCAAAATGGACATTGCCGCCTGGGCCCCCCAAGGAAGGGTGATCACAGACCCCCCCCAGCAAAAATCAGCTCTAGTGTCTATATTGTTCAGCGCGTCTGAATTTAAAATTGATAACAAGAAACCAGAGTGTTGTTATATTCTTTTAATGACCATCTACGTAATGTTTAGCGTTTAGCGTTAGCATTCAGTTTGAATAAGAAAATTTCCCTTTCCTTTCTTAAGACATTTTTTGAAAAATTACCATTTCATTTCTAAAAAAATGACCGAATAGCCCTTTTATTTCTCAATGAGTGGAGAGGTTATGTTTTCATTTTTTGCTTACAGTGAGATATTATTATCTGGCATATAATCTTCAGTAAATAAATATCTTCGCGGTATGAATCAGCCTCTTTTAGTCTAATAAGGCTCTAATGCGTCTATTACAGTCTTTTCACGTCTTCAATGCTTATAACCATAGACTTTCACAATAATGTGCATATTTTTATTTGATGACATATATATTTTCTTCCTGATAATATCGTGGAAGAAATTTTTTAAATGTATTATCAATTGCATAGAAGATGAAATTTCAAGAGTGGCGAAGATATAATGAATGCAAGATCTCTCCTTTCCTCCATGAACTGGACTTTTTTTTCAATTTGTTATGGTGGCATTCAGTATTGAGCGTAATGAATACCGTGCAAGCTCAAATGCAAAAGAAATAAATAGACTTGATGATGGCTTAAAGGTGCATTTCAGCAGCATTAAAAAAAATTAAAAGATTTAAGGAGCGAAAGCACATACGATAATTTTGTTCTGAAGGCTAAAAATAAATGGAAAGAGATGGAATGGGACAATCCTGGTTTTCCAATTGTCAGAAAGAGGAAAATCAAAAAACCGTTCGACCAAAAAGCTGCTTACTCGCCACTGGAAACACACGAAAAATATCGAATAAATTACTACGAAGTTTTGGATCCAATGAGTAACGAATTGCAAAAACGTACTGAAGGATTTCGTGAAGTGAATGATGTGTTTGTTTTTTTGGTGCCAGAAAAATTAGATATTCTAAAAGAAAACGAATTAGAAACCAGCGTCACTAATTTGATGGAAGAGTATTAGGCATTTTTCACTACAGATCTAAAATATGAATTAGCCAGTTTTACGAGCATGTATTTTTCGCCAAATCGTAATTTTAACAGTAACAGCCGGCTAGATTATTTGAAGTTCATGATTGCAAACAATTTTGTAGACATTTTTCCAGAGAGCTGCTTATTCAGATTGTTTTTGGCTTTGCCTACCGGTTCAGCTAGTGCTGAACGTGTCATGAGCTCTTTGAAAATTATTAAAGAATACCGTCGAGCTTCTTTGGCTAAAGACACACTCAGCAACTTCTCTAACCTTTATATCGAAAGATCAGTAGCTAATACACTCAATTTGGATTCTGCGATGGAAGTTTTTGCTGAACGAAAAGCAAGACGCGGATTCAAATTAGAATAATTCTGTTATTTTGTATCGAATAAAAAATGTTTGATCTCACAGTCTCTACTTGATTCAGGTTATATAGACATTTAGTAAAAAATCCGAGGTAACAGCGCGTAGCAGCTACTATTGTGCATATAATTGTAAGCCCCTGTTAATATGCGACATCCTTATTGCCAGCAAAATCTGTAGTTCGAACTTTATCCGAACAATTTAGATGGATTTTACGTTATGGAAAATTTTTAGATCCGCGTGAATATTGAAACAGTTGAATTAGCTGTTTTATTGGTACGTTGAAGCAGCATCAGATTAACTTTTTGCATCAAATTACTACTAAAAAACCTTTTGCACTATCCATGAGGTTGTTTCGGTTACTTGTGCAGGTCTTTCTATTTTTTTATTCTCACTTGCCGTCATTAATTTGCAAATAGCGATAAATGTGGAGAATATCACTTTCGCAAATAGTGCCCAGTAATGTAGTAATGCACGTTATTTAACGTATTTTAGTGTTGTTCACCAAGTTTGTATTCAACGAAATATTAATCACGGCAAACATGACAACAACTATCGATCATATTTGTTTTTTTTTCTTAATTATCATTTTATGCAAATTCTATAAATAGCGTGCACTCCAAATTTGACTCGACGCCCTTTACTTATCGGTAGCATCCGTGATAACTTTTAAACTCTATTGTGCGCAAGAAGTTTGCTGGTGAATCATCAAATTTAATTTACTTCAAAAAATTACCATGCGCATTACAACCTGTCCCGTGCCCGTGCGCACTATTAAATGCAAAAACAAGGCTGATGTACGACCCAACTAACAATTATCACTCCGATTAGAGTTGCAAGAATGATTATACAGTCTTCCTTAAACAGCATTGTATACTGTAAGAACATTGGCAAAACCCTCTTAGAACAGCTATACAAGCGGAATGGGCACACCAAATAGGACACTTCAGTCATTTAAGAGGTTGTATAAGGGCTGCAGGTAACAGTTATACAACAAAAGTTTAAGCCTCTTGCAGCCGCTATAGGACATTTGCGTCAGTGCAAGATTCAGTTTTTGTCAACTATACAACTATTCTGTTACGTGATTCTACTTTATTGCAACCAAACTATTTCTTATGTATTGTATAGACGAAGTGAAGAATATATAACTAACACATTACAGTCATCTTGTTTACTCACATATCGGCCATTGTGAATGTCATACACAGGTATATGATAAACTTCTACACTTTGATATAGGGCTATTGAATTACTTGCGCAGCAAATTTTATTGTGATTATCGTGCAAATTAGTTACCCAATTTCTACGGGCTTCGTATTTGATTCATATTTTGACAATGATCAAAAGTATGTCTAGATTTTTAAGGTGGAAAACTGAACTTATCTGCCTTAAATCTTCCACAAATCCTATATTTAGACACAATTACACTAATATTTATCACTTTATATCTATAATCTCGAACTGAAACATAATTATTTAATATTAAATGTGGAATAAATTTTCGCCCAATATGGCGGGTGGTTGTGTACAAATGGCATCGTCCATGTTGTCTTTAGGTTATTAGAATATTTTGGGGTTGCCTGCAGGCGTTATACAACAATTTAACAAATGTCTGAAATGAAATACCGACAGAGTCGAATGATTTACCCAGAATTTGTACCAGATCTATATGTTCTGTTTGAACAGTTGATAAAACCTTTTGAACCAATATGCATGCGTTGTTTGTCTTAAAACATTGGTTATGGCATTTTAACAAGAATATGACAGCAGAAAGTTAGGTTATGGTGAAGTTGTTTACCAACATATTTAGCATATGTACAGTCTTTAACAGTTACTAAACAACAGTTGTATAAGTGGTTCCGTTGGGAGCAATTTGTTGGCTAAGGTAGTAAATTGCACAGCAAAACAACAAGGCTCGGGTTTGTTTTATAAACGTTACCATGGATGCCACAACACAACCATTTTGACTAACGTGCAAATATGTCGTATAAAATAGTTGTATAAACGTTTATGCAACAGTTAAAAATTTGCCCTATAAGGTGTTGTATAACTATGCTATAAGAATATTTTAAATACCCCATTTTAGAGCAGCTGCAGAAAGCAAATTTGCATTCCACACAACATTAAGCCAGCATTTTGGTGTTCAGGCAACAACAATAGAGAGCTTTTATGGCTGAACGGTTCTTTTACCAAAAGCTTATACCACTCCTTTGCTAGTTGGGGATTGCACTAACATGACATTACGCATTAAATTATGATATTAATTTCTGAGTTATCATGCAACTTTAAAAGTTTCCATTGCCGTATTTTATTGAATACACTGTATCTGTAATTTTATTTTGGTTTAATCAATGCTTCTGATGTATTTTGAAAATACCACCCCCGTACCACTGAACCCCATTTAAATATACCCTATTTCAAACATATCCAAACTGATCAATATCCTTTTTACAGGTCCATTAAGTATATAGCACAAAGTGAGTGAGCTTGACGAAGGGAGGACATTTTTGTTAGAAAATTCCGATGAGGGGACTGGCAAGTTGAAGGGTCATCATGACCACCGGTGGCGATGCCTCAGGCCCGAGCGGCCCTACTGAGCAGTCAGAAAGGTAATTTTTTCTTCTTGAGTGGGGTTACCTTTTTGCACGGGAACGGTGTGCTATGTAGAACTGACCGACACACTTCTAGCTAATAAGACGATTTTTCTCCGGTAAATATTCAAAAAAAGTTATCCTGGCATATGATTAACAGACTCCATGCCGAGAGCTTCCAATTCAAGTTTATCTGTTTGAAAAGCTCTAAAGGGCTAACATGTTATTGGAAATTTAGTTATTTTTTAATTAATATAACCCGGATTAATAAGTATAAAGTAAACAACTAAAGGCGATCAAGCGATTTCACCATAATTTGTGAAGTACGAATTTAATAAAAAACAAAATAAAGGAATAAATTATTGTTTATGTATCGTATATTATAATGGGTGATTTTTTTTGCTAGTATCTTTTTGGCAGCACTGTTTTTGACAGATGACGCGTGAATCGTGTCTTGTGTCATTGTCAAACTTGTTCAGTTTGGTCTATAATTTAACCATGGATCGACTTACGAACGAACAACGCTTGCAAATTATTGAATTTTACTATCAAAATTCATGCTCGGTTAAGAAAGTGCATCGAGCACTGCTTCCAATTTTTGGGCAATTTGGTCGGCCTACTGAGGGAGCTGTTCGGAAGCTTGTGACTAAACTTCGCACCCAGTTTACATTATTGGACATTAAATCACCAACACGCAGACGTACAGTGAGGACTGAAGAAAATATTGCGGCTGTATCCGCCAGTGTTAGTGATGACCGTGAAATGTCGATTCGCCGCCGTTCGCAGCAATTGGGCCTCTGTTACTCCACTACGTGAAACATTTTGTGACAGAATTTGGGTGTAAAATCTTATAAGCTACAGCTGGTGCAAGAATTGAAGCCACACGACCTCCCACAACGTTTTCAATTTGGTGAATGGGCGGTGGCAAAGTTATAGGAAGATCCACATTTTTAACGAAAAATTGTATTCAGCGACGAAGCTCATTTTTGGTTGAATGGGTACGTGAACAAGCAAAATTGCCGCATCTAGAGTGAAGACCAGCCAGAAGCATTGCAAGAGCTACCAATGCATCCCGAAAAATCACTGTTTGGTGTGGATTATGGGCCGGTGGCATCATCGGGCCGTACTTCTTCAAAGACGACAATAGCCGGAACGTAAGTGTGAATGGCGAGCGCTACCGTGCGATGATAACAAACTTTTTTTTGCCCATAATGGAAGAGCTGGACTTGGCTGACATGTGGTTTCAACAAGACGGTGCCACATTCCACACCGCACACGAAACAATGGCCCTATTGAGAGGCGAGTTCGGTGAACAATTTATCTCACGTTTGGGGCCCGTCAATTGGCCGCCTAGATCGTGTGATTTAACGCCGTTGGACTATTTCTTGTGGGGCCATGTTAAGGCTAATATCTACAGGGATAAACCAGCAACGATTGACGCACTGGAAGCCAATATTGAAGCATTTATTCGTGAGATACCGGCCGATATGTTGGAGAGAGTGTGCCAAAATTGGACCTTGCGCATGGGCCATCTAAAGCGGAGCCGCGGCCAACATTTACATGAAATAATCTTTAAACATTAAATTATATCGACCGTTTTATCGACTCAAATAAAGGTTTAATCGTTTTTTTCAAATTTTTTGTGTTTTTTTGAAAATCAAATCCGATACCTCTTAAAAAATCACCCGTTATATTACGGTTCGGAAAAGTCTCCTCCTCTTCGGAGTGACTATATTTTAATGCAAAAATAACTGTAGCTTCCTATGAGTGTTAAAACTCTAGAACATAAAATCACTATCTAACTGAATGGTGGCCTGGAAGGCTGTCAAGTTGAGCATTTTTGTAGATTGAATTGCTTATAACTTAACAATTAATCATCAAAACGCTCTAGTATTTTATCTTAATCTTTCTATTGGAAGGATCTATCTATCTATCTATCTAATTAAAATATTGAATATTTCATTTAAAAAATATCAGCATCGCTTTTTTTTTAAACTGAACGTCCCATATTCTTATGCACATTATTTATTTGGAAAGCACTGTATATAAAATCCTATAAAATAATGTTTTCAAATAGAAAATAAAATTATAAGAATTCAATTCAACGTATAACTTGCAACAGTTTTAGAGAAATGGTGAAAAGTCATATATATATATATATATATATAATATATATAACTTGAGACGTGGTCATTGTCGTCTAGACCTGATGATGATGGTAAAGACCATTGAAAGCTAGAGAGAATAAAAAAAGTATAAAGAGTCCTCCTTGCTTAAATTTTTTTCGAAGTACCCAACAAAACGCGGAAGCTTTAATTTTTCACCTATATATATATGTATATATATATATATATATATATATACTTCGAAGTTGAGTCATTTATTTTAACAGTGAGTAGATCTGATCAAAAGAAATGTTTTTTTCTTTAACATTTTTCTGGTAAAATTAAAGTAACAAAGTTATAGCCCTTTAGAAGTTTGAGTACCGCCCTGTCTCAATAATAATATTATGTGCTCGTGTTTGGCAACAACGGATATAATCCGCCTTATCGGTCCATCGCATTGGAAACAAAAAAGCGAAAGAATTTGAAACGCTTATCGCGATGTTTTTACTATAATTTTATTCAGTTGTATTCAGTCGGTAACGCGTGAGTGAATAGTGGTGTTTGTTACGTGGCTCAAACGAAATAAAAAATGGCAAATGTTTACGAAAATGCTGAACTTGTGGACATGATTCTTATTTACGGGGGGGGGGGAGTCTTTACGTGCCTTTGTTAATGTAGTACAAAGGGCTCGTGAATCAGGTGACTTAAGACCTCACAGGGGAGAGCATGCCGGTGCTCCAAGACCGCACGATCAAATACAGGTCCGCACTGAAATACTTGCCGGGAGGATACTTTATAAAACAAGGTAACACTTTTTTTAATTTTTTTTTATTTTTACACACATATTTTGGTTTATCTTCCTTCTATAATCATTATCTGAAAATTAATGACTCAACTTCAAAGTATATATACAGGGTGGCCCATCCATGTGTGGACGGAATATTACTCATAAACAAATACATTTTGGGAAAATCTATTCATGGGATATTATACACGACGTTTGAGGGCACATTTTTAAAATATTGGCCATTATACGAGGTGTCCCAATTTCGACCTACATATCAGAGGTGTGATTTTTCAAATAGGATGCCTCAAATTTTATTGCATATTTGGATAAACTAATTCAAAAGAAGAAAATTGAAATAACATACTACGGGGTTTTGGTAAATGGCTACTGAGATATAAGGTGTTTTGTCTAGAAAAGCCCCACACTTCGGCAACCCCTCAGTCCGCCATTATGAAACTTGGAGTGCTGAATTTTGTATACAAAAACTTATACTTTATCTTATTTGTTACTTTTTAGAATTTTAATTTTTGCTCATACTATAAACGAAAATTGTAGTTTTTCTCAAAAATTTCAAATGCATTACCCTGTATATTTGTGCAAGTCTGGATTACATTTTTTTATAACCTGATTTTGATACTACATAACGGTTTTTAAGGCTATTTTTTTGGTTATTAGCACGTCTCTTATGGAACGGCTTAATTCCCTAAAATATCGCATCATCCTTGGAAGCAAATAAATTGTTGATTAGTTACAAACTGTCAAAATTAGCTTTGTGAGCATTATAGTAAAAACGTGTTTGAAAATGAATTTTTCTAAAGAAGAAATGGTGAATATGGTTTTCGGGTGAAACCCAAAGAAATAGTTTCCTAGCATCTCGCATTTATAAGCAATGATACCCTAATATACGACATCCAAGGCCGGCATAACATGCACTATTATGCGACGGACAACCCTTACTGGGTTAGGCACATAAATTTCCAAAATAAATGGAGCTTGAATGTTTTGGGAGTAGTTATTGACAGACAAGTTATCGGGCCTTTCTTTTTCGACAACAGATTAACAGGTACAGAATACTTGAATTTTTTGATCGAGCATTTGCCTTTGCTTTTGGAGGATGTCAACCTGCAAACTCGGATGCATTTGGACACCTGGATTAACAATCGTTGGATCGGTCGTGATGGGCCTATATCTCGGTCTCCTAGATCACAAGATATGATACCAATGGACTTCTTTCTATGGGGCTACGTTAAGCAAGAGGTTTATATATATATATCCACCATCTACCCCGGAAAATATGAAGGAAAGGATTAAGGATGCTCTGAACATAAGGGAACACATGCTGAGGGATGTGCAACGGCCATTTATCCAAAGACTACCGCTCTGTATTCAATATGGTGGAGATATTTTCGAGCAGTTTTTGTAGATTAGGTCTTGAGTAGTGATAGTTGTTTCTTTATGTTGTTGTTATAGTTGTTTTTCTGTATTACGCTTGACGCTGATTTATACTGTTCTGATTGTTATTAGTTTTTACGTCAAATCTGTACTCTTAGTGGCAATATGGAACAAACCCACAGTTTGTCTTTTGTTTCCATGGATGATTTGATTTTTATCCTTAATTTTGGTGTATTGTTCTATTAAAAGCTTAATAACTCAAAATGTAGTGGTTTTATCTGAATCAAACCTTATACCAAAAAAAGCTTAGAAAAAACGGAATCCAAACTTGTACAAATATATAGGGTGATGTATTTGAAATTTTCGAGAAAAAGTACAATTCGTGTTTTTGACCGCCATGTATGAGCAACAACGCAAATTTGAAAAAGTAACAAATAGGATAAAAGCTGAGGTGTGTAAGTTTTTTTTGGTACAAAATTGAACACTCCAAATTTCAAAATGGCGGATTGAGGGATTGCCGAAGTGGACGGTTTTTCTGTACAAAACACCTTACATCTCAGTAGTTAATTACCAAAACTCCATAGTATGATATACCAATCTTTTTCTTTTGAATTGGTTTATCCAAATATGCAATAAAATTTGAGGCATTCCAGTTAAAAATTCACAACTTTGATATGTAGGTCAAAGTTGGAACACCTTGTGTAATTGCCAATATTTTAGAAATGTGCCCCCAA